TAATTTATTTTTTAATATTGTCTTTTGTGAACTTACAGTTCTTTAAAACAATCTGAAGAAATCAAAAAAAGGTAGATCCCATCCTACGAAAGACAACTAAATGTGCAAATTTCACATACTTTCTATAGTAAGTATAAATAATTCCATTGTTTCACATTAAGAATGAAAATATTGATAGACATAAAATATTAGGTTATTAACTTTGAAAGAACTAGATGAAAACAGTGAAGTGTATTTGACATCTTTGGAAAGAAATGACAGACATGTCAGGGAAAAAGACATGTCAGATTTTATGAGGAAAGGCTGTGCAGAGATATGTATCATAAACATCTTCAGTTCCTATGTCAGACCACGAAAATGGCAGCCTTTACCTCTGGAACATTTCCCCCCTAAGGCAAGAGTGACACTAAAGTTAAGCACACAGACACATTGCAGGATAATAACAGAAATTTCCTTATTCTCATGGCTACTGGTTTTGCTGTCCCAAGCTGTGTCACTGGCCCCTATCCAATAGGCCAAGGGCACAGCATTTATACAGCAAGCAACACCATCATGAAAGGCCACATCTTTCCATGCCCCTCCCCACGCTCATCCCCACTACTTTCCTTATCTTCTCTCCAAGGAGGTAGGATACTCAGAAGCATCTACAGAAGACAGACAATGATTTCTCATTGAATGGCAGGAGACTTATAAGAAGCACCAGCTTCTACAAGCTTTATTCATAAAGCAATTCCTTCTTTCCTAGGGAGGCAACAAGCGCAAACAAGAGGCCACCTCCCCACCCTGGTCAGGAACTTGCCAGGTTCCCAGAACATGACTGACAGCAAATATGTTACCCCAAGAAAATACTGCAGAAGAAAATCTTCATTTAAATAACTTTGAAGTTTGTAATAAATAAAGTGAAATACACTGAGAGCTTCCTTGAAGAAGGCCGCTTGTTGAATTCACATAACAAGCTGTATACATGTGGGTGCCCTGACAACAACCAGAAAACAGGTTATTATTATTCAATTCAGTCTTCCTATTTTTATCTCTTTAGGGCAGCACTTCGACAATTAAAAAAATCCCTCATACATAATATAAGGGTGTATTACACATACATACACTTTGATAAACACTTCAGTCCAAGCTAATCTCTTCAGAAGTGCAGAAAGACTGTGACAACCCAAGGTTACACGCCTTCCTACCCAAATGTTCTGCTGTTTAAAGGTGCAGACACTCAAGAGCAGCTAGTTTCATCTCTGTGTGAACATGTTCAATTTCAGCAGCCTCATAATCACAGTCTGTGTGTGGTTCTGCTTTCCTGCAGAACCTTGGAACCCAACTAGGCAGATAGGGAAGACAACTACAGATGTGCTCTATGTCCATATTCCCTGAGCTTCCTTGAGCTTCTTTGCAGAGGGCCTTGGTGCCCTGAGGATTCAGCTTTGTATCTCTGGGAAAAGCTTCCAGAAATCAGTAAGACGGCTCTAGGACTCCCAACCCACCTGCCTACGAGCCTTTCTTCCTGTTTCCGGCAAGGTGATAAAGCAGTCCTGGCAGGTGGACACAGGAGCTGCCACCAATCCTAGCACACATTCCGAGTCCAAAGATGTCCTCAGCCTTCTGCTTGGTAGGAGAGGAGCAGCACCTTCAGCCTAGCCTGAGGTCATGCACTGCCAGTCCCAAGTTCTGCTCGTAGCTCACCTGGGGATATTCCTGGTTACAAAACCTGATGGTCGTGGCCATAATGAAGAGCTTATCTTGCTTTCTTTGCTCAAAGACACTCACTCTCAAGGCCACTGTCCCAGGGCCTGCCCCTCCCATGGCACTCAGGGGTCTGGAGTATAGCACCACTCTGGTTAGCAACTGGAGGCCCTTCTTGCTGGGCCGGTCCATTTGTTTGTACTTAGCCATACATCTGCTTGAACTGGAAGCATTCATTGCAGTAACCGTTACACTTGGCATTGCCGAAGTGATCACAGGCAGGGGCCCGACAGCGCTGTTTAGGGGGCTCTTCAGTAGCGGGTTCACCCCGGTGGGCCACAGAGCCCACTCGCTGGCTGAGGTGCTGGCACTCCATGCAAAGTTCCTCACTGCGGCAGGCCAGGATGTTCTTGCAAGAGGCCCGGGTGCACTTGGGCCTTGAGGCCCCCTGAGTGGTTCCAGGCAAGTCTCTGCGCTGGCTGGATCTCTGGGTGGGAAGAAGAGAGAGAAGTGTTGCTCACATTTTCCAGGCAACCACCACAGCAGGACTTAATCTGCCTACGTGAGGAGGATCCACAGTTCGCCAGCCATCCCAGCAGAAGCCAACCTAGCCCGGGGGAGGCTGAGAGGAAGCACTGGCCCTGACATGTAGAGATGGCACATTGGGCCCAGTGATCTTCCCCATCTACTCAGATGGTTCTCCCACCCTTCTGCATACAGCCCGGGACACTTTATCACTATGTGTGCTGTTCTGATATGCCAGTAAATGGAAGCACTGGGGCTGCTCTGCCTCCTCTCTGCTCAGGATAATGGATTATTTAAGAAGTCTGCTTCTCTTGGAAATCCAAGATCTCTTTGATCACCATCTGGCTTTAGGGACCTTGCAGAAGTTTTACTCTATGGCTAACGTTATTAACTTTTCCAAATGATTTCTAAGCATGCCAAAGCCATGCAAAGCAATGGCAACACTTCCAACCCGGGAAGCCAAAGAATATGGACATGTTCCCCCAGGTTCTCCTTTGTGATGAGGAGACAGAGAACTTGCTTGTCATAGACAGCAGAAACTACTCCAACAGGAAGGGCCTGATGGCAGGGGTGGGGGGGTACGAGGAGGGAGGTGGGGGTGCCTTCAAATGCCTCACCAGTTGCTCTTCAGTCCTTTTTGCTTCATGGAATCTCTGGTTCTGAGCTTCGATGAAGCACTTCTGACAGTACCCTTCAAACATGGTGCTTCCGAGGGTGCCACATTCCCTCCCCAGGCACGGAATGGTGTTCTGGAACCTGGAGGCTGTGGAATTGGCTTTCCCAGAGGCAGTGACAAAATCTACAAGAGAGTTGATGCTATTCAGTACCTCTGGGTCACCATGCACATACAGACACTGATGGTAGAGAAGGGTTCCTAGTACAGACTAGAACAGCCTTAAATACGTATTTGAGACCCAACTTAGAAACTCAGAAAAACAACATTACTAAACATCATTAGCTTTGAACCCAGAGCACCGATCAGTCCAATTTGCTTTTTAAATTAGTGATTCTCAAGCCAAGGATGCTTTCCTATTGTCAGCAGACACTTCTTCTCTCCTGATATCTCTCTTTAGACCATTACATAAAAGTTCCTGAAGCTTAAACTATGATAGGCGTGGCAGACACTCAACTGCCTTATGAAAATAAATCCCATAGCTGCATGTGGCAGCTCATTCCCCAAACCCCAGAACTCAGGAAACAGAAGTAGGAGAACTGCCATGAGTCTGAGGCCAGGCTGGGCTACACATTGAGTTGTAGGTCTTGGGCTAGTATGAATTATATGTACTAGGCACTTTTGGCATGTGATCGTGGTAGCTAAGAGCTGCTTTAATCAAATGGTGCCTACTGCTTCCAGGTATGGCCAGCAGTGCCCAGGTGACGTCCCCTAAAGCAAGCCAGTGGAAAAGCACAATGAGGTATGATCTGACTGCGCAAATAGGCTCCTTTTCTTGATGTTTAGGAAAAAAGCCCCTTCTAGACCATAGCAACTGCATTAGGCAATCTGATTTCACTCACGTTTGTTTTCTCTGTACTCGATGAAACACAGTGTGCAAAAGCCCTTGTTTTCTGGAGTCCCAAAATACATGCAGCCAGGCTTTCTGCACTTGCTCGTCCCTATCCTGTCCACTGGAGTCCGTGCTGCCTGGGAGAGGCAGCCAGAGGGGATGTCATTTCCAGCTCGGTGGCAAGAGTGTGGGGTGAGACTCTGGATGAGTTGCGAGGGGTCAGACTTGGAGCGCTGGTGACAGGAGGGAGGGATGCTGGAAGTGAGGCTGGAAGAGGGCTCTGCTGTAGTCCTTTTGAAGCAACTACTGCAGATCCCATTAAACGTCCTGGTGACATCCTGAAGGCAGGCTCGGCACTTACCAGGGTCTGCAGTGTGGCTGGCGTTAAGTTGCCGGGCATTGTGGCAACGCTCACAAAATCCATTGTGCTGCACGTTCAGTGTGAAAGGGCAGCCGGGGCTCCTGCACTTCATAGCAGTGGTTTCACTGAACAGGAAAAGGCTGGGTGCTGTCGGTGGGGCTGAATGTGGTCCCCCAGATGGCTCCTCAGGGTTCCAAGCTGAGGTACCGAGTGCCATGCCAGGGAGCCCTTCAGGGCCTGGCTTCGAGTTCAGCTTTGGAAGTTTGCTCTGATTCTTTTGCCGCCTCTCTGAGCATTCATGGCATAAAGGCTGAGTGTTCACGGACATGAAGAAAGGACAGTTGGGGGTTTCACACTTTACATCCATGAGGGACAGCTGGGGTGTGGGAGGTTCCGAAGAGTTCTGTGTATGTGCCCCTCTCCGGCCCTGTTCATTGGTTTCCTGCCATTTCTTGTATTCATGCTGAACAAGTTCAAAGTAATCATCTACCAGATTTATTTCTTTTGGTAAGTTAGCTTCATCCAACCTGAAGACCAAACAGGAAAATAAGTGATGACTCAAAATAACATAAGACTTTAAATCACTAGCACCTAGGACACATTGGCAGAATGTGGTCCATGGTAATAACTTTATAACCATCACTGAAATGCAGGCTTATGACATCACGTGGTCCAGTACACTTTCTATCATGTTCTCAAGCCAAGAAGACAGCTGAAAAGAAACTGCTTACTTTGCAGCATTGATCAGATGAGTTGTGCCATGGTCCCAGCCCTGCACTGGGATTTCCATCACCAGCAAGTACTCCTTCAAGAGCTTTTCCTTCATCTCATTTTCAGGATCTGTCAGAAAGTGAATTTTTAAGTCTTCGAATCTTCCTCGGTCTCTGTTGACAAGTGGAACAGCTCGGATTTCTAAGGGGAAAAAAACAATATATGAGTGAACTAAATGAGGTTGCATGTAAGGTCACACAGGATGATTCAAACTAAAAAACTAGAAAAGTATCATCCAGTTACAGTTAAACCCAAATGGGAATAATGCATTCAAGTCTAAAATAAAAATACATTGTTTCTGTGGAGCTCACAGACCCTAACCAGCCTAGTGCTAAGTTGAATTTTATGTAATTTTTTAAAAACTTGATCTTAAAAAGCCCAAAATGATGGCTGATTCTTTTTTGATTTTTAGAATACTGTACTTTCTCTTGCATTTTAATAGGTGCCTCTAATGCCCTTTGACTGTATTTGCTCCCTCCATTGTTCACTCTCACTCTCTCCCTTCTTCCTGGTCCCCCTTCTCTTCCAAAACAGTCTGTCTTCTACTTCCATGTCTTTTGCCTTTCTGAAAAAAATCTGAATTTCACATATGAGAGAAAATGTGATATATTTTTTAAGTCTGGCTTATTTTTTTTTAAGTATGATTTATCTACTGTTCTACCATTTTCCTGCAAAACATAATTTTATATTCTTCTTTATGGTAGAATAAAACTCCACAGTGTGTGTGTGTGTGTGTGTGTGTGTGTGTGTGTGTGTGTGTGTGTGTGTACCACATTTTCTTCACCCATTCCTGTCAATAGTCATCTAAGCTCACTGCATCACTGCCAATAGGAAGCAGCAAATCTGACCTGGTTAAATTCTTACGCCTCACCTCAGACTGACCTGAGTTAGAATCTTGACTTTGTCTCTCTTAAGATATAGGGCACTAAAGCAGGTTGTTTAACTTTCTGAGCTTCAATTGCCTTATCTGTAAAATAAGACTATGTATGCCAGCATCTTGAAAGGATACTATGAGAATGAAATGAAAGAAAGTTTCCTACAACACTTAGCACAGTGCTCGCTGCACATTAACCTATTATAATAATAGCCAGCCTGACAAACATTTACCCACTCTGTGCCAGGCACTGTAACTGAGGGCTCTGAGTGCACCTGAATTTGTCATGCAGTAGTAATAATAAGGGTAGAAATATGCATACATGAATCACCTACTTATGATTAGCATGCTAAAGTACTTCCCAAGTCACACTCAAAGAGACTATGTTTGCTACTATTATATTACTGTGCCAAGTTATATGACTCTAATCTGAGAATTTCAAATTTGAAAATCTGACTGGATTTGGGAACATTTTAGATTTAGATGAGGAATGACAAAATGGTAAAGTCTATACAAACATCCCAAAGTATGAAAAACTCTGAAATCTAAAATGCTGCTGGTCCCAAACATTTCAGATAAGGGATACTCAGTCTTGTGTTGATTAAACAAATGATAGAGTAACACATTTAAATACAAAAAAACCAAGTAAGCTCTGGTATTCCAGGATCTAACAGGTTTATGAATGTGAACTTATGAATGTGAACTGATGCGGTTTTCTTACCAGGCCCACTGTCCTTCAGGGTCACCAAGGGTACAAAATGCTGGCTGTCATAACCAAGGACGATGGGGTATCTGTAGCATTCCTGGGCAGGCCAGTGGAGAGGTAAATAAATTCCTCCTACTTTCAAAGGGGCAAAATTGGAACCTGATTCCAAACTTCTTAGCATTTTGTCTGTTAAAGGAAAGAGAAAGAAAAATAAGACCTCAGACGACTTTCATGAAATCCCTTCTACTGTTGTCCGACAGCTCCAGGGGAGTACGGGCTTCTGGTGGGAGCTAACCTATTAAGGAGGAAAAGCATCAAAGGAACCAACAGGAAACAGTCTGTGGCATCTCACCTGAAATGACAATGATGGGTCTTCTGAGGATATTGCTGAGGATAAATATGTGGATTTCTTCCAGGGAATTATACTGAAGTCTACTTCGAGCCACAGGCATGTCTACAGATGCCATTTTGATCAGGCTGTCCCATTCATCATTCCAGTTCTAAAGAGAGTAGACAAGGACAAAGATGAGCAAGTAGCCCAGACACCGCTCATCCTCCTATAGAACTCTGCTTATTTTTCTTCTTTCTTAAAATCATCATCCAAATGCTCATCCTTTCCCCAATTTTGGCTTTCTTCCTTCACTTTTGTCCACTACAAGGCAAACTCAAAACTATGGAAAATAGAGACAGCATCTGCTTTCAACAAATTCCCTCTCTGGGGACTGGTTCACTTGCTAGAATGCTGTCTAACATGGATGGAGTCCTGGGTTTGATCCCACTACTACATAAAACCATGTAGTGATGCATACCTGCCTGTAATCCTAACACTGGGGAGGTGCAGGCAGGAGGATAGAAGTTCAAGGTCATCCTCAGCTACATAGCAAGTTCAAGGCCAGTCTGAGCTACATGTGACCCTGTGTAAAAGACGAAGAAAGGAAGGAAGGAAGGAAGGAAGGAAGGAAGGAAGGAAGGAAGGGATTTTCCCTGAACTGGCTAGTTCAGGCTAGCCAGTTTGACTGAGTTTGCCAAAGGGAATCAAATTGAGAAACAACAGAAGTGCCCAACGAAAGGCTACATTTGGAAGACCTGCCATGACAAAAATGTACATCTGAAAATCTGCTGTGTTTATAGCCTGAGCAGTGGCAAAAGCCTCCCATTATCCCCTAGAAGGATTCGGGTGCTTTCCATCCACTGTGCACTGTTTGGCTCAACTCATGTGACTAGTAAGTCATGTGTTCCTCAGAGCACCCTTCATCCACCATGGAGCTGGAGATCGAGAACAACGCATACCCGAGTGTCATAGCAAAGTCCCGTTTCCACAAAGTCCTGAGATTTCAGAGACTCCAGCTGCCAGCGGAATTTAAAATTGCGTGTGTCCGTCTCCTTGAGAGTGCTGCAGAGGGCCTTCCTCAGGACCAGGTCTGTATCCTGAACACCCCACATGTACTGACAAACCGCATGCATGAGGCAATTTCCATCACCTAAGGACAGAAGCAAGCCATGAAGAGTAAAGTTAAGCAGCCTGTGATGAAGGCCCTGCAAAGGTTTCCTGAATAAACTAGCCCTACTGCTAGGGGACCGGATGATTTGATTCTTAATCAAGGGCCAGCTGATAGCATTCCATCATTTTATAAGATGATGGCAGTTATAAGAAAAAAAATTCTTTTTATACTTCTATTTAATGAAAGGGACCCACTGAGGGAAGGAGCCAGAGGACCTTGGTTGTAGAATGGCTCTGCCCCTAACTGGTTTAAGAAACCTTGGGAACATTCCTGAAGGTCTCTTACTTTTTTTCCTCTGTGGAATGAGGGTGACGACTTATGATCCTCATGGTCCTATCTTTCTGGCTAAGGCCTAGGTACTCTTTAGCTGTAAGGAAGGTATAGACTCCTAGGGCAACATGCACATAGCAGGAAGCCAGCAAGGCTCAACCCACTAGATAGGGACGGTCTGGCTATGACTCAGTGGTAAATGACTTGGCCATTCCACTTTAGCTTTGAGGACCTGGGAGTTTCCTCTTCTAGCTTATTAAGTAGGGTTGACAGTACCAAACTGCGTGTAGCAAACTGCCCCAACTCTCAGTGCATTATGAGAACCTGCTTGTGAGCAATTGCAAAGTCCTTTCTTGAAAAAGTTAAAAGGCTGGGCATGGTTGTGCATGCCTGTAATTTCAGTCATTTGGGAGGTGGAGGATTAGAAGTTCAAGGTCATCCTTAACTACAGAGTTAAATCAAGGCCAGTTTGGATTACAGGAGACCCCATCTCAATCAATCAAGTAAGCAATAAACAATTTAAAAATAAAAGCTAAAAAGCACCTAGATTTTGACTTTTGAAGTAATTCAGTGTTTGGGGTGAGTATTTTGAGAAAAAAAAATCAGTCTAATTTTCTTTCCTTAATTTGTGATTTTTTTTTTTCCAAGTTAAAAGTCACAATTCAAAAACTTCATTCTTTAATTTGTTTTTTATCTTTATTTTTTCAGTGCTGGACATTGAACCCTGAGCCTCATGAATGTTAGGCAAGGGCTCTACCACTAAGCTACATCCAGTCTCAGACTGCATTCCTTTTTAATGCCCAAACAATAAATATTTGGGAGATGGCTTAACATAAAATTAGTTCATTACTCATTCTCTTTTGGAATGTACTAAACATTTTAATTTTTAATTTTCTTATATTATTCTGTAAGGTAATATAGCTATTTGAAATTTTACCAAATTCTAATTATAGTCAAATTGTAAACAACACCACCAAGGCCTGTCAAATACTTATCCACAGCCAGGATTCCTTTAATGTTTGTACTTCAAACAATTAGCTGAACCAATAAGAAAGATCACTCAAGCCTTGTGTCTTAGCTGAGGTGTGGCAAGGATTACACTCTGTTGAAATTTCCCCTTTGCAAAATCTAGAGCAAAGATAAGGCTTTTTTCTTCTTCTTGGGCTTACTTTCAGTTCTTTATTGAGATGCACCAGTATAAAATTCCCTAAGTAACATCTGGAATTCCCCAGTGCTACGATATTTGACTAGCAATTGAGCAACAGCTATTGTACGTTTTGTTCTGTTGTGTAGACATTTAAACTGCAAACTGCTCCCTGGACTTTCCAAGTGGGTGTGGCCAGGCTGAGCTGGAATAGGGCTACTCATTATACAAGTGAAATCGTCGCAGCCAATAGACGCTGGAATTTTCATGAAGTTTCAATCTTATACCACCTACTCCCTTCCTCATTCACCGCAGTCTCATATCCTCAAATGCAAACTTGTGAATCACCCCCTCCCCAAACACAGGACTGCCTTTGAAGAAACTCTCCTGGGGGTGGGGGGAGATTGTAAAAATAAAGAAAAGGTGCTAATAAAAATCAAAGAGGGAAAAGGCCATTTGTTTCTGCCCCCCCACCAGTCTCTTTTCTTTCTTTCTTTTTATTTTTTTATAATTTAAGAATTTTTGTCAAAGCAGGGAAATCAGGATTCTGAGCCAAAAAATCTGTATTTTCCCATGTTACCAAAATACCTTTGCTTGTGTAGTTTGATTTGTAGTGTGAACCCTTGATTTAAACAGCATATGACTGCAAAGCAAATGTTTAATATTTATATTGCTTCTTTTCTACAAGAAATCCGGTATTTCCTTGTTAAGAAAACACTGCAGAAGGTCTCCTAATTCTGTTAATGGCAATAAGACTTTCTTTTCTCCACCCCATTTGTAGTCTCTCAACTTCATCCTCCCCCTTTTTTTGTAACAAAATGGGACACAGTGAAAACCACAAACTGTCAGGTATCTAAACTCCTTGATGACAAGTTAACATAATTATCTACTTTTATGCATCACTTGATTTAATGCCAAGAACAATGTAGATAATAGCTGTCTCCAGTTTTCTTTCGACTATATTTCTAACAGTCTAAGCTTCATAAATATAGGTAAGATGTCAAGGTAATACATAAGAGTCCCTAGAATCAAAACAAACAAAACCCCACATCCACCGATCACTGAGTTACTCAAGAACAGTCAAAGTTAATGTACCAATTAAGTTATTAAGTTAATGTTCCTACATCATCACTGCCAACAAGGATTTTCTACTCTGGGATGTACTGTTTTATCCAGAGAGCGCAGTCACCAAACCAAACCTAATAAGCCCCTTTTACCTACACGACAAGCATTTGACCTATCTTGTACAATCTCTTATAATAAATACCTACAGTCCAAAGGCAGAATTTTATACTTGCAGAGAATAATATCCTTCAGCAAATGTGCATATACTTACTCAAATGAAACGATTTAAAAAATAAGACTTTAAGCTTGAAGTAGAAAACAGCTATCAGTGGTAAAGGGCCATTATGCAAAAAGACACAAATCTCAAATGTCTGGCTATTTGATAAGTGTATAAACCCCTTGATGATAACATAATTATCTACCTCTATACATCACTTGATTTAATGTCAAGAATAATGTAGAAATTGCTACCTCCCATCTTAGGCAACAGAACCGAGGTAGAGACAAAAGCAGCTTAATAGCCATTAATGGTCTTTACTGTGTTAACCCACGAATGGTCACCAACTCACAAAGTGCAGGGACATCACAAGCATTTTCTAATGACAGTGGCAAACAGCTGTAATACCCATTTTCAGCACCATGCTTTCCTTTTGAGCTCAAAACCTTTAAAACTATTTCCATATTGGCCAAGGAAGGGTCCTTTATAGATGACTAGGTGGATGCAAGGATTAGAAACATTAATCACCTAACTGGGGCATGGTGTTTTTAAATGCATTCCACAAAGCCTTCTGTACTCTAATATACACACTTGGAAAACATCTTAAATAAAAATATTCACCAGACTGGGTGTGGTGATGCACATCTGCCATCCTAGCACTCAGGTGACTGAGGCAGGTGGATAACAAGTTCCAGACCAGCTTGGGCTATATCGTAATATCTTGCCTCCAAATAGAGCAACAAACTCATCCAACATGTTTGCTACTGTTGCATGACTCTTATTAGTTTCTATACAAGGTGTCTATGTTTAGTGCTATTAAAACTTCATGAATAAGAAACCAGCACCACGGGAGCCATCCCTCAGACTAACAGAACTATGCCAGAGCCAAAAAAGCAAGTCTTACCATTGGTTTTCAGAGCCACAAGTTTCCTGACCTCCCGACACCAGTTGAGCTTCTTCTGGCTTTCCAAGGAAGCCTGGATGTTTCTGTCAATGAGAGCCTTGTGGATGATTTCCCGAAACTGTGGAGAAAACTGGCAGGTTCGGAACATTTCCAGGGTGTATCGGTGCATAGTTTTAAAGTGATAAATGATTCCATTGGTAGGTTTAAAGATGTCTTCTGGAGTCCTCTCCCTTATCTTCACAGCTTTCCGCATATTGCTCAAATACAAGGCCTGAGGAAGGAGTTGTTCAGCCATGGTACTCCACAAGGCCTGAAGAGGAAGTGGGAAAGCCCATTCCGTTAGCCTGCCTTTAACAATGCTCCCATGTACCTGTCTGCAGGAAACCCCACTGTTTGATCTTGTCATTACTCTAATCTGTAGGCAAAAGATCTTAAGTCACCTCTGCTCCCAGGATACTAGCTGGCCACAAAGATTAACTCACACTGGACTGTTTTAAGTTACATCACTTTTAAAGAGTAGTCTAAACAAGAGAAGGAAGGCAGAGTGGGTACTGAGGAGGAGGGGAATAACCCAAGCTTTCAGAAACATTTGTCAGGGAGCCAAACCTGTCTGTCACCGATAGGTACTGCTCCACAAAACCAACCTCAGTTCCCACTGCACTCTGATGCCACCCTAGACCTCTGAACGCCAGTCCAGGGCACACTGGAGCACTGACAAGTCTTGTCTCCTAAGACTGTCACCATTCAATCCTTGTTCTTAAGTCCAGATCCAGGTCTTTCCAACATCCTCCCTGATGCTGCAAAGGCAGCAAATATTTTACGAAAATCCTATATGGCACTGAGCTGTTGCTTGGGGTTTCCTGTCTGGCCTCAAAGAAAAGCATAAACAGCTGGTTCAGAAAGCATATCATAACATGTATAAAGAGTTAACACAAAATTTTTTTATAACCAACAACAAAATAAAACCTATTTCTAGCAAGATGCTTCACATTCTTAAGAGCAAATAAGTGGTCAGCCTTTCTTCAAAACCTTGGCACTGAACTTCACAACATGAGGAAAAACAAGCAGCATAATAATAGAAAAAGGAATGATCTGCCTCCCAAAACAGACACTGGAGTTCTAAGATTTCAACTAAATGGACAACTGTATTTTATCATTGCCCTCCAGGTACCAATGCTCAGATATTCCCTAAGCCCATCCTTTACTCTAGACGGTCAAGGACAATCAGTGATGGACCAAATGAAATCTGGAAGCAAATCAGAAAGTTGTAACAGCTAGAACTCCAGGACAAATCAAAGAAGAGTAGATTCAAAGACCAGCACTACCAACAGTGTACTTGGATATGTGCTGATGCACACAGGGATCCTTCTAGTGTGGAGTAATGTTGGGAACTAGCTCTGCTTCATTGGCCCCATGGACATGGCCTGGCCACCTGTCCTAACTTCCAAGAAGACAGTAATGCTTTCAGAGCACATAGACAGTCCCTAGGAAATGTTACAGTGATGGTTAACTCCATTTGTTCCTCAATCTATCTGCCAGGGCAAATTCACCAGATGGAAAAGTTGATAATAATACAAGGAGAGGAAATCTAGTTTAGAGAAGCCACTTCTAGTGGATCCAGATTCTCTTAAGCCATTGATACAGTGGTATCAATTCTTGCACCCTCCTAAAGGAGAGAGGTTGGGAACTAGAGGCCCCTGAGGTTACTCCTGAGGAGCTGCACTAGAATTCTGATGGCTGGCTGAAGCCTACAAGTCATCCTCTGTGCCTGATGCCAGATACTCCTTGTGCTGGAATTGGGTAATAACATAGCCCGAGACAAAACTATCACACACAGGTCTCCTTCGTGATGCAGCAAAGATCTTTTTCCCAACACCCTTAATCTATCAATCCACCCATGAATCTATACAATGGGCATTGCCAGATCACCCACTAAAGGCCAATCCCTGTGCTTGGCGCTAGGGCTAACAACCAATGACTTCACGCCTATCCTTATAGTCACAGTCAGTAGGTCTGCACCTATGGCAAAGGAGGTACAATTCATCCCAGGTCCCACTGCCATGCACTGAGCTTTGCCTAGAGGCTAGGTCTTCCTATACCTGTCCCTTGCCAGTCTCCTAACAGGGCTTGCAGCTCTCAGAGACAGACAAGGAGTTGGGAAGACTTAAAATCAACTAGTCCTGCCCTCTCTCAGCTTTCCTGACTCTTCTGTTTTTCACTTCTGGACCTAAAGATCTTCCAGCAGAGATCTAAATGTGTTGGGGGCTATAAACCATATGCACAACATGCAAATGTCAATATGTGCTAGCCCAGTGTGATCTCATTCATAAAGTTTGCCTTGTACAGCCTGCAAAAGTGCCTCCTTTTCAAGCAAATCAAAACCACTGCCCATTTCCAGTCCTTGGACTTCCCCACACTTAAAGAATAAACTTTCCTGACACATGATTGTAATGTCTTATGGGAAAAAAAAAATATATATATATATATACACACACACATTATTACCTTTAACATTTTTTTTTTTTTTTTAGTATTTGTTACCTCATAGCCTAAAAGATGTTTCCCAATTTTTGTCACAGGATCAATAAGATTCTACAGAACTTACTCATCAAAGTCGTTCCTCGTTTTATTTTTCCACTCCGAGCAGACATTTTATTTTAATTTTTTTGTCTACTATGTGGAAACTTATGTATTATTTATCAACAGATACCTCAGGCAATTGTTTGGAAGTACCCCTCCAAAAACTGTATAAAGAATTGCAAAAGCTCCAAGAAGCATCTCAGACGATGAGAACGGAGCCCTGATTGGCTGTTCGATAATCTGGGACATTAGGGTACAGAAGACACTAATCAGCAGTGATCATCCCTCCAAAATGTTGCCCCCAGACACTTAACCAGACTGGCTTTCCAAAGGGAGATCAGAGGCAGAGCCGGGAGAACTGAAAACAAAGCGGGATCCAAAAAGAGCTGAGCTCCTTCCTTAATACCACTGCTTTCCTGAGTGGCCAGGTGGCAGGATGTGGGACAACCCTGCTGACAACCACAGTCTGAGTGTGGGGTCGGGGCTGGAGCAGGGAGCACACCACACTTAAAGTGGTCTCCCAAAATGCAGGCCAGAAACCCACGTACACATGCATACTTTTCTCATACTGCTGCAGCTAGGGAAGGCAACCTCTGCCGCAACCCACTCCCCTGCAGATCACTGTGTCTGGGACGGCTGTCCCCTGCAAAGTTCAATGACTGAAGCATCCAAGCCGGATTTGGTGGCCCCTGAAATACTCATCCCTTGTTAGGCGGGTTCTTCACAGCCTGGGATGAAACTCCAGTACAGTTCTGCAAGGTCTACGTGCTTATGAGCATGCAGCATTTGATTTAAAAAAAATTTTTTTTGAAAGATGAGAAAAGGGGCAAAACACCCAAGACCACCTGACCCAGGGGCCTGAGGGGCGAGTCTTCATCAAGCAGCTGCAGTTTAAATTAAGCTGCAGGATCGATGGAACAGCGAACTGGCTGGAGGAATCCAGGGCTGTCACCTAACAACTGGCCCCTGATCTCAACCCTAGGACTTCTGCAAAGCCAGCGCTGGGAGGCCCACAAGCCCCGCAGGCCCGCAGCCCCCAGCCTTGCAGCCCCGCAGCCCCGGCCAGACGTGCACCCTGCGCCCGTTGCGTTCCTCACCTCTCCGGGCCGCGCTCCCGCCGCAGAGTCCCGAGTGGCGCTCAGTCCCGCCGCGCGCCGGAGCCGGGGGTCGCGATCCGGGTTGAGGTGGGGGTCGTGCAGAGGCGGAGCCCCATGGACGCCCGGGTCGGACTCGCTGTCTGGCCGGGGGGTGTGCACGTCTCCCGGCGGCTTTGGTCGCCGCTCCGCCCCCGCGGGCTCCGAGCCCGTGGCGCTTCTCCCGCAGTGAAGGCTTGCAGACTGGGCAGTTCCCTTTTTTTGCCTTTCAGTTGTATGTATCTGTCGCCAGCTAGCCGGGGATTTCCGAGGGACTTTCCAGTCACGTGACGTCCGCGTGGCGCGCAGCTGCCGGCAGAGGGCGCTCGAGGCCTCCCCGCCCCGCCCGGAGAAACTCCTGGGTCCCGCCCCGGGGTGTCCCCTCGTGAGTCACCTGGGCATTTCGGAAGCTAGCCTCCACGTCACATCCATGTGGAAATCGCGGTGATGGGAACTGGAAATGCAAGAGGTTTTTTTTTTTTTTTTTTTTTTTATAGAATTTTTTTTTAAAAGACAGCTTTGCACTGGGGAAATAAAGACAGCTGGCACCTCATAAGCACCAGATCTCAGCTACAGAAGAAAATCAGCTGTGAAAAAGAAGGGAAATTAGAGAGAAAGAAAACCCTAAAAATCACCCACACACCCAGGACTGCCGACCTGGGGCGGGCTTTGAAGTCTGGACTGCGCACGTGATGAGCACTTTTGAGAGAGTCTTCTGTAGGGTCGGGGCGGGGATTTTGAGAAAAAGCGCAGAACTCCCCAGTGTTAGCCCCAGCTCCAGGCTGAACGGCATGCAGGGCGAGGTGACATCAGATCCCTTGGTCCTGCAGCTTTTGAGTTCTCAGGGGCAAGGCGAAGTTCGGATAAAATCAGAATCCCCACCCCATCCTACACATGCTCCATTTCTATATTTCCTTCCGTGCTCCAAGAGCCCGGGGAGCCTCTCATTCAAGGAGCATTTTCATTTAGAAATCCCTTCAAGTGGTTTAGATGTCCTGAGAATTAGTTCATCCCCAGATCCCACCAGAGGATGATCCTTTTCATCCTCCCCTAACAGTTCCCCAAGCCGCACCTGCTGCCTGCCTGGTGACTGTCCTGCTATGCCTTCATTTGGAAGAGTCCTTTTAATAGGTTAGTCATTTCAGCAGTCTTGGGGCCTGAGCTTTTCATAAAGAGGCTGGGATGCTTTTACTGCCTTGGCGTCCCTCTTGGCGCAATCCCAACAAAAGTAAACGCAAAACTGACTGAAATATTGTCACCATTGTTACCCTAGGTATGCTTGTCAGATTGTCAGTCCATACATTGCACGTTTGGATAAATGTATGCTCCCCTCCCCAACAAGGACCTGATGTTGTAACTGGGGGATTTGTGTGTGTGTGAGAGAGAGAGAGAGAGAGAGAGAGAGAGAGAGAGA